AGGAGGAGGAGGAGGAGGAGGAGGAGGAGGAGGAGGAGGAGGAGGAGGAGGAGGAGGAGCAGGAGCCAGGGACACCTCCAGCAACCCCGGTGAGCGGCGTGCTCGCACGCGCCGCGGGCGCCAGCGAGGGCGCGGAGGGGCCGCCCGCAGCCTGGGACGCCCAGGCGCACGTCGACCGCGCGGCCGCCGCCGCCGGCCAGCTCACGGCCGCGGCGGCCGGGGAGCTGCTCGCGGGCCTCCGCGGCGCGGTGCCGAAGGCTCCAGGGCCGCCCAGGTGGGGTCGGATGCCCAGGCGTCCGGATGCTCAGGCGTCCAGCGTTGCAGAGGTTTTTCGTAGCTTTCGGCCTCTCGGGACCCTCACACCCGTGAGATCCTGGCGACTCCATTTTTCCGAGCCGGGCGTTTTCGCTCAAGTTCGGGCCCCAGGACCCTCACAGATCTGTCCGTCCCGGTCCGGTAGATGGGGTCCTGGGGTCCGGTCGTGATTTTGTGCGATGTTGCATTTTTTTTGTAACGTCAGATCTCATGGATGGCCGCAGGACCATCCAAACACGAGTCGGGGTGGAACACCTGGGAGTAGAGGGGTGTCGGAGGATCGCGCTGCGTTTCCGATGCATCGCCGACGCATCGGCGATGTGGCGCGATCCTCCGACCCCATCTACTCCGACCATCCGCCGCCGTCCAATTTGTTCGCGTGACAAGGGCCCTGTACTGGAGGGCTCCCCCGAGGGCTTCAAGTGGGGTCGCACAGCATGCCCGCCAGCACGAGTGTGTGACTGCCGCTAGTTGGCAACGCTACAAAATGGACAGCCGGGACGACGACGACGACGACGACGACGACGACGACGACGACGACGACGACGACGCGACGACGACGACGACGACGACGACGACGACGACGACGGCGGCGGCGGCGGCGGCGGCGGCGGTGGTGGCGAGGACGACGAGGACGACGAGGACGACGACGATAACGAGGACGCCGACGAGGATGAGGACGACGCCGACGTCGACGACGATGACGACGACGACGATGACGACGACGACGACGACGAGGACGAGGACGAGGACGATGAGGACGAGGACGACGACGTCCTCGACGACGACGACGGCGGCGGCGGCCGCCGCGGCGGCCCCTGAAGGCGGAGCTTCTCGCCGGCGTGGAGCGGGGGCCCGAGCTGCTCGGGCTGCCGCTCTTCTGGCGGGCGCGCGCGCCCCTGCGCCTGCGGTCCGCGGCTGTGCAGGCCTCTCCCTGGGGGTGCGTTCTGCGAATCCGGCTGTGGCTCATCGGAGCACGAGAGGACTTCCTCTTCAGAAGAATCTGCCCCACATTTAGTGGACAGGCTTGTGTTCTCCATCAAGTAGGTTCTGGGTTTCATGAATGCTGGTGTGTCGTGTTTTCGTTAGCTGGAGTAGTTCCCCAAAGCGGTTCTTGGTTCACTGTATTGTATTGTTCCGAACATTGTTAAAATTATACGCATACGTTCACTACCACTACCTCGGTTGGCTGACGGCGATTGGCGACAATGGCCAGAATTCATATGTGTTTGTTCTCTCACATCGTCGACCCCGGGAGGTCTCGACCACCCACTCCCGGGACTGTTTTTTTACCCCGAGTTGCTTCTTCACGGTCCCAGGGCCCGTCAAGGGCCCCCGAGGCCGAGAACAATGGGTTGTCCGCCGTGATTGCTCGCCACTCCAGGGGGTCTGGCAGGAAAGGATCGCGGTATTGGTACCGCCCCTCAGATCTGGCGTAGCCAAGGCACGCAACATGGCAAGAAATCGCGACCAGAGCCCTGGTCTCCATCTTCCTGCGCATCCCTCGGGCCGGATCGACCTGTGAGGGCCCTTGCGGCCCTAACGCGGGCGCAAACGTCTGTAGTGCGACAGGCGCTGCGTCGCCCAGATCTGCGGGTCCTCCGAAGGGGAGCGCCGCCCAGCGGCTGGTGCCTCGCGGCATGGTCCTGCGGGAGGTCCGCTGCGGCGGCGAGGTCGTGTGGCAGCGGCCCACCTCCGCGGACCTGCTGCAGGGAGTCGGGCGGCCGCGCCGCCCGGGCCTGGAGCTGCCGGGGGCCCTGGCGCGCCTGGGCGGCGAGGCCCCGCTCGAGTGCCTGTTCTTCGCGGAGGAGGGCCGGGCGAGGCAGGGGGCGGCCCTCCCTCCAGACCGCCTGCGTGGCGACCAGCTCGAGACGCAGAGTTGTTCTCTGTCGCAGGCTTTTCGGCTTCTCTCGGGGCCCTCCACCCGGCCGCAGGACCGTCCAAGCACGAGTCGGGATGGAACACCGATCCCTGGGGAAGTGGTCGAGAGGTCGGGGGCCCGTGTCTCGAACAAGATCCAGACGCCGGATGCCTGGGCCTGGCGCTTGTCGTTTTATTTTGGGGGCCTCCTGGAGGCTTCTCGTCGCCACGGCTGGGTCTGCCTGGAAGAAACATCGGCGTCATCCCAACATACTAATACTATGTGTGCGTCGTCCCCCCCCCCCAGGGGCGACGCGCGCACCGAGAATTCGGGCGCTATCTGGCCACACGATCGGGAAACGATGTACTACAAGATGGGTATGCTGTATGTTCTGGTCGGACTTGCGCCTCCAAGGAGGACGTACAGTACTAGCATGTATCTGTGCGCCCCAAAGAGTGGGCCAGGAGGGGCCCCGGGGGCGGCGGGCCGATTCTGAGCGGATTTTGGGCCGGGCGGGAGGGCCGCCGCTGTCTTAGCTTTGCCCCCCTCTGGCCTGCGTTCCCGAGGGCGTCGCGCCCGAGTCGCTCGGGCTGTGGCTCCTGCGCGACGGGCTGGTGTTCGACAGGGACGATGCCCGTGCGTGCAAGCTCAATCTCGGGGGAAGGACAGGTACCGATGTCGCTAATTACCCGTCCCTCCTCACCGCCGCCGGAGTCGCCTCGCGTTCCTGGTTAGATCGCGCCCAGGGAGAGGCCCGTGGAGTACGGATCCTGGTTGCTAGGGACAGGCCTGTGGATTACCGGTATATGGGTACGTATCTCTTTGTTCCCCCATGATCTCACGCGGATCGCGCTTCCTGGCGGTGACGCGACGGTCGAGTTCCGGCAGTTCCCCGGCGGCAACTTCGCCCGGCCCGACTTCATCTGCTGGCCTCCGGCCCATCCCGCTACCGCGCCTGGGCTATGGGTCCCAGGTCTCCTCCAGGATGTTTGGTGGGATGTCGCGGGAGGCTTCGCGGGGGTCTCTGACTGAGGCCTCAGGAGTGAGTATTGAGGCTTCAGGGATTCGGCCAGGGGCCCGAGGACACTCCAGCCCGTGCCTCAGGGGCACGGTGGCGGATCTGGGGCTGGGTGCGGTTCGTGGCCCAGCTCGTGGCGTGCGCGTGCGCTTGCGCCGCCGGCGCGCCCGGGGCGTGCTTGCCCCGCGACGCCAGCGAGGCGGAGCTGCGGAGGTTCCTGCGGCTGCCAGAAGACTCGAAGAAGAAACAGTGGCGCCACCAGAATCTTTTGGGGCTCCGCGAGGATGTCTTGGATCTGCGCTGGGCCCCCCTGGGCGGCGCCTCCAGCGACGCCCCTGGCGCGCTCCGCGCGCCATGGAGGGGGTCAGCGCAGAGCCAAGAAATCCGCGCGGACTTCCAAAAGTTTAGGTCTATGCCGTTGTCTGTTCCTCTAGAGACGCGGACCTTGCAGCATGGTGGCAGGAGGCCTGTTCCCGAACTGCCATTGCGGAAGAGGTCAGAGGAGGAAACAGCACCGATGATACCGCTACGCTTGCCTCGTTGGAGCCGTCTGGGGCCCCTTGGGAGGCCCTTGTCGCTCGCTACGGCTGGACTCGCCTCGCAATTTTGGTCAGCACACACACACACAGGGGACAGGTCTGGGGAGGTTCGCGGTATCGGTACCCTTTTGGGCTTCTCAGAGGCCTGCTCCCGAATTGCCACGGCGGAAGAGGCTGGGAGGTGACAGCCGAATGACCAGTGCGCGGAAGGAGGAGGCGACTGGACGCTGCGGCAGGTGCCGACTCCTGCTCCAGGGGGGGACTGCTGCGACGCTCGAGAGCACCGGCAGACGCCGGCCCCCCGAACGTGTACCCAGCGCGCGGCCGCCACATGTTTCAGATGTGAACCCAGCCACGTGTGCTTCCAGCTTCCTGGCACTACGGCGCTCGGGAGTAACAACTGCAGGCTTCTGCTCGGCGCGTGCGGGGGCCAGAGTACACTGCAGCAGGCGCTGACGCTGACACGCGAGAGTCGAGTCACACATTATGGCTACAGGCTTTCGGTCAGCGTGCGCCCGAGCAGGCAGGACGCGGCAGGAGGCGTTGGCCTTGCTTCACGGGAGGTGCTGCGCCCGAGGATGGAGCCGCACGCCGTCGGCTGCGGGCCTCCGACCAGCGCGGCGACGGGGACGGGAAGACGCGGCGGCAGGCGCTGACGTTGCTCGCGGAGGCATAGCGCGCGAGGATGTGGCTTGACGTCGTAGGCGGCACGCCCTGCCCAGATTCGACGAGCGAAACACATTCACGTTCAATTTGCGGGATCCGCGGTGATTTCTTGGATCGGCGCTGAGCCCATCCAGCGCCGATCCAAGAACTCCGCGCGGACCTCCGACAGCTTGTGTACGGCGCTGTCGACCCAGCGCGGGTCACTCTTCTGGATCCGAGTGCTTCCTCCTCGTTGTCGCCCCGCTCCTTTCCCCTCCCCCGCCTTCCCCTGGTCATCCTGCTCCTCCCGCTTCTCCTCCTCCTACTCCTCCTCCTCCTCCTCCTCCTCCTCCTCCTGCTTCCTCCTCCTCTTTCTTCTCCTCCTTCTCCTCCTCCTCCTCCTCCTCCTCCTCCTCACCCCCCTCCTCTTCCATCCGTAGCCATTTTGGCTCAAGTTCGTCCCCTCCGTGGGATCTCGGACTTGGGCCGAAATGGGTCCCACAGCTGTTTCGCCCAAGGCCCGTTGGCCGAGCGCAGCGCCGCCCGCGTCTGGCGGCGTCCATCCATCTCTATGCAGTGGCTGGGGCTGCTGAGCCTCCTGCCGCTGTTGTGCGCAGTCGCCATGCCGCACACGCGATCCCCGGCGGCCTCGTACATCCGCACCTGCCGAGGGCTGCAGCGCGGTCGCGCTCGCCCACGCGGAGCAGCATGCCGCCACGTCCTTCGTCTTCATATTCTCGTCCCTGGCGACGCGGTGGCACGCTCGGCTGATGGCGATCCCGTCCACGCTGAGCTAACACACCAACGTCACATGCCGAACGAGCTGCTCCCGCTCAACCCGCTGGGCGTCAGCAGCAGCCACGAGCTCCAGGAGGTCGCGAACTTCATCCAGCGGCGTCGTGTGCCTGCTGGGCTTCATGATGGTGCTGGACCTCCGCGCGCTGTGGTGCCCGTTCGAGCAGTCCTACGACACGGAGCTGGTCCTCTTCCTCCGTCTGCACGTGAAGCTCACCTTGCCGCTGAGCCCGATGCCGATGGTGCCGCTGACGATCTTCTGCATGACCCACGCCACGTTCCTGGAGCCGCCCTTGGCCGTGCTCCCCGTGGCGATGCCGCGCCTGAAGCTCTACGCAATGGTGCTGGACCGCTTCCACAACACGTTCTTCAGCATGGAGCTGGGCCTCTTCCTCGGCGGGGCTCTGGCGCTCGTGAACCTGCTTTGCATGCCACTGCCGCCGGTGGTGTCCGTCCTCGTGACACTGGTGATGCTCTCGATGCTCTTCGGCAATTTTGCGCATGCCGCTGCCAATGGTAGCGCCTGTCTTCGTGATGTACCTGTCCTGCGTGCCGCTGCCGCTGGTGGCGCCCGTCCTCGTGATGCTGGCGATGCCCTCGCTGCTTTCCGTCCCCTTGTCCGCGAATGGCATCGGGCCGCACGGCGCAAGACGCTACTCCAGAACAGGCCGTTCATCCGCTGTTCGACGCGTGGTTCGACCTTGTGTTCGACGCCTCCCTGTCCTCGGAGTGCGACCAGACCGTCGAGGATACCGCTGCACATGATGATGCTGCCGCCGGTGGCGAACCAGTCCACGACGACGCCGCCGAGCGTGGCGAACAACCTGTTCTCGCAGCACAGCCTGTCGCCCTGCCGATCCTGATGCTGCCGCGCGCGGCACTCGACCCCTACGCGATGCACATGCCGATGCTGCCGCTGGTGGTGTACCCGGGCACGTTGACGCTGCCGCTGGTGCCGGACGGCCTGTTCTCGTAGTACTTCCTGGCTTTCGTCCTGTTGATTATGATGCTGCCGCGCGCGGCGCCCGACCCCTACATGTTGAATATGCTGGTGCTGCCAATGGTGGCGAACAAGTGCGCGATGACCTTGACGACGCCCCTGTTGCTGCTGCTGTCCTTCCCTATGGAGCCTAGCGTGGTTGGGCTGCTCCTGGCATGCCGTTCCTTCGACACTCGGACCTTCTGCAACTACGCTGCTGCAGTGCGACTCTCGCTTGCCGTGTAGACGAACTGGTGCGCCGAGCTGCTGGGCCTCATCCTGGAGCGCCACGGGGCGCTCGAGTGCATGATGTTGCCGCTGCCGCTGCCGCTGCTGTCACGCGACGCCAACGCGAAGTCCCTCTTCCCGCAGCCGCTGGTGATGACGAACACGAGTGGGGAACTCGTTGGGACTACGAGCGCAAGTAATGGCACGGATCGGCTGACGCTACCCATCCCGCACAACCCGAAGAAGCTCTGCATGATGCTGCACGCGATGTTCTGCCGCCTGGAGTGGCTGCCGCTGCTCGTGACGCCCCTGAGGCCGCCCGCCAATGTAGCATTGAGCCTTCCGTCTGGCTCACCCCACCCCTCTCCGTCCTGTCTTCGCTGCCACCCATCCCTGCTTTTCCCGCTTTCCAGCGTGCTCCTCACGATTACCATTCCGCTCCCAGTGCATGGCCCCACGCCCCCCGAAGCATGCGCGTGGCCAGAGCGACGAGCGCCGCCGAAAGCACCGCTCTGGAAGTAGGCTGAGCCGCGGCGGGACGCGAGCAGACATCTCGCCCTCGTCTCGCGTCTTGCCCGTTTTCCCTCGTCTCTTCCTCTTTGCGTGCGTGCACTCCCCCTCCTCTTCCACATGCTTATCCTCGAATGTACGCAGCTCCCCCTGTGTGATTGCGCATGTCGCAGTGGGGTTCGTACGTGGGGGTTCCAGGCCCGCTACGACCCCCATCCGCGGATATAGGCAACTCAGCGCAATGGGAGGGGATGGGTGGGAAAGGTCGCACGTCGCATGCGGTGCGAGCGTGCCTAGCTTGTCCTTCGTTCCTTCTCCTCCTCCTCCTCCTCCCCCCCCCCCTATGGTCCGTCCTTTTTCTCCCTCTCCTCGCCCTCCCCCCCCTCGTCCTCCTCCCCTTCGCCCGGGCCCCCCCTCTCCGCATTCGTCGTCCTTCTCCTCCCCCATCGGTTCCTGCTCGTCCTCCTTCTCCTCGCGCTCCCCCTCTCCCACTCCTCCCCATTGCCCCCCGCTCCTCCGCCGTCCCCCTCTATCATTCGCCCTCCCCTCCCACTCCTCCCCATTGCTTCCCGCTCCCCCACTCTCCCCATCTATCATTATTCCTTGTCTTCCTCTTTTTCTTCCTCCTTCTTCTCCTCGTTTTCCTCCTCCTCCTCTTCCTCCCCCCCCTTCCCCCGTAGCCTTTGTGGCTCAAGTGACATTGTCTCAGGGCTGAGGCCAAAGTGAGGGGATGTGCGGCCCCGCCCCCGCCCGCGTGCGTTTGGTTTGACCCACTCCCTCGGGTCGGTCCGCGCGCTGCATTGGGGGCTGTCCCGCCCTTTTCTGTCCACGTACTCTGCGTGGCGGGGGGCAGTGCTCGCAAAGAAGTGCTCCTTCGCCCTCGCCTTCCCTCGCGGGGGCGTGGGCGGCGTGGGAGAGACGACAACTGGGCTCCGCGCCACGTCTGCCGTTGCGGCTCCAAGGCCCCGGAGCGCATCGCGGCGGCTCCCCGCTGCGCCCGTGAGCAGGTGGTCGCGGGCGGCGCAGCTGGCGGCTCTGGCGGCAAGCCCTGGCCCCGCGGGGGCGGCGCGCCAGGCTCGGCGCCGTCGGACAAGGGCCCAGCTGGCGCAGCTGCAGGACGCCGAGGCCGCGGGCCAGGCTGGGCCCGCCGCCAGCCCGCCGCCCGCTCCCGAGCCCCTCGGGCGGCGCCGTGGGCCCTGTCGCCAAAGAGCTGGAGGGCGCCAGGCAGAGCTAGGAGGTGTGGCGGAAGGTCGCGGCGCGCGCCAGCAATTTCGACTCCGCTCGCAAGTTCGCGAGGGGCGAGGTTGCCGGGCTCCTTGACAAGCGTCGCCAGGTCAATTCCAGCAGCCGACAGCAGCTCACGCTACACCAGGAGTTCTCGGAGGCCCAGCCTGCGGTGGGCGGGCTCAGAGACAATAGCAATAGGAAGCAGAATAAGCAGGGGGGCCTGGGGAAGCTCATGGCGAAGTTTGAGCAGGACGTGGTTGCCATCGATGATGCGATGTCCGAGGCAGAACCCAGGCTCCAGGACCTTCAGAAGCAAGCTCTGGAGACCCTCGCCAAGGCCAGTGGATCGGCCAGCCAGACATCTGGGTCTCCTGCATGGTTCGAGCTCGACCCCGAGGCGGCCAAGGCCAAGGGTGATGAGTTCCAGAAGTGGCACGCCTCTCTCAGAGAAGATGGTCAAGCCCAGGTTGCCGGACCTGCTACGCGCTGCTGCGCCTGCCCATCGGCTTCCTGCCGGGCGCGAGGATGCCAGCGCCCTGCCGCTCCAGCAGGGCAGGGCCACGGGGACATGCCCGCAGGCGACCACGACGTCGACGTGGATGCGCTGGTCAGCGAGGACTACGTCGCCAAGGCGGCGGCCTTCCGCCGGGCCACCGACGAGCTGCGGACAGCCAGTCCAGAGCAGCAGGAGGCCTGCAAGCACAAGGTGGCAGCCGCTGCCGCAGCGTTTGGCCCGGCACGTCGGCGCCTCTGACGTGTCTGGCCGCAGCCAGAAGGTCTGGGAATTATGGTCGATGAGCGCGAATTCCTGGGCCTCGTGGCAAGGGGCTCTAGATTGGCAGCGCTTTTGAGGATATGCATCGCGTCCGCGGGATCTTTTGGCCAAGATCGCAGGGTCAAGTGCCCGCATCGCGTGCGCGCTGCTGCCGGCAGGTTGGCCTCGATTGTTCTTCGCCAGGGGTCTTGGCTGCAGTGGCTTCCCACATTCAGTTCGCCGGCATTGGGCTGGGCGCGCGTGGCCTAGCCTCGCACCATTACGCACGTAGCGGGGCCATTCGAGCCAAGGTGACCTTCCCCAGGGGCATAATGCTTCATGCGACGATTGCAGCCGCGCCTGGACCCACGTGCTATGCCGCGGCGACAGGTGCCCAGCTCGACTTCTTTGTTGTGGGCCGAGTTCTAGCGTCCAGTGTGGGCGAGGTCAGGGCGCTCTATGGCTCGCCCACTCCACCGCGAGTCGCCGCGTCGTCTTTGCAGCTGAGAGGGCCGTCTCTCAGCCTGCCCGTCCACGCGCGGCACGCTTGGAGGCCCCCCCCCCCCCCCCTCCCCCCACGGAGCCGATCATTGGGCGCATGCGTGCGCCGATGGAGGCCGATTGGTCATGGGCTGCTGGCGACGCCGAGACCACGTCGGCAGGTCTGGAGTCTGCGTGGGGCGAGTGGCTTACCAAGGCAGAGGGCGACCTTTGCAGGCAATTTGACATGGTCGGGCAAGCTCGCGAGCCATGCGCGTGGCGCTCTGCTGGTTTCAGTCGCAAAACAGAGCATGCGGGCCACGGAGCTGCTGCGCGGGCGTGGCGCCCACTACGGAGGGTACGGGGATAGGTCCCCTGAGTGCGCGCAGGCGCCGAGGGCGCTGGCGCGGCCCCCCGCTTCTGGCTCCCTGAGTACACGCAGGCCCTTTCGTTCCAGGAACTACCGCAGGTCGGCCCTGGCGGGGGCCATGCGCGTGGGGCCTCTTTCACTTTGGGGCCGGCCTCGGACAGTCGTCAGTAGGGCAGTAGGACGAGGTTGGCCAGGCGACCTCGACGATTTGCGCATCCAGCGGCCAGGCGACGCTCGCTCCTCCCTGATAAATCAGGTCTCCGACCAGAGCCGCGGAGGTCTTCTCTCCCTGTGGCTCCCTGCAGGAGGGGCGGAGCCGCGTTGGCTCAACTGCGTCAACGTCGGCATCCCAACGCCAGGCGATGCTCGCCCCTGGAGGCGGGCAGAGCCGCCGTGGCCCATCGCCCGCGGGTTCGGCGTCCCAGGCCCAAGCCGCGCTCACCCCTCTCAGGCAGGTGAGATCTCTGGTCAGAGCCGCGGCGGTCCGCCCTCGCTGCGGCCCCCTGCAGGAGGGGCAGAGCCGACGTGGGTCAGAGGCGGCTGGTGACCAGCAGTGAACGCCCGATCGTGTGATAGACCAGCTCAGGTCGACCGGTTTCTCGTCGTTGACAGGCGTCGACGGTTGCTGCACGGGCTACCGCAGTATTCGGGGCATTGTTCTAGCTAGCGGCGATGACCTCGACGTGCCGTGCGTCAATATCGGCAACGCCGCCAAAGAAGCTTCGTCTTTGGCCTTTAAAGCTGAACTCCAGGACTGGCGAGACTGGGCGCAGGCTTCAGTCGAGCACGGGGGCCGCGAGGCCCGCGGGTATCCCGATGACTCTCCCATAGTCGTTGGGCCTGTTGCTCAGGAGGGCTGGCCGCTTCAAGGTGGCCAAGCAGTAGACCACATGGAGGCTGCGTGGAATGTGTTCTGGGATGATGCGAAGCAGGGTTTGGATCAGACACCATGGGGTGCAGCTGAGGCTCAGTGCCTAGAGCGGCCCTCGATCGAGAGAGTCCGCCGATCCCTCCGCTCCATCAAGGCCTGCGTAGGCCTCGGGGTGGACCTGCGTCGACCCGCGCACGGTCGACCTACCCTACGACGACTAAATTATATGCAGACGCTAGTCGACCTCGTCATGCGCTGGGAAGCACCACCTCAGCTTTCGCCCGCGTGGCTGACAGTGATGGTGTTTCTCTCCAAACCAGATGGATCAGGAGTGCGTCTCGTAGCTGTCATCTGTTCGGCGCTGAGGGCGCTGGGCAAATTCGGGCGAGACATGGCCCGGGAGTGGGGGGAGGCTCATTATTCGCATGTTTTCTCTGGCCAACGCGACAAATGGGTGCGACGGAGCTGGGTGGGCCCATCAGTTTCTGGTGCACTACGCTCGCGCACGCAATGTGGAGGCGGCTGCGTTTGCGACGGATCTGGAGCAATTGGACGAAAGAGTTTGCCATTACGTCCTCTTACAGGAAGGTGGTTCCCCTCGGCATCTTTGGTCTGCGTGTGCGCTGTGTTCGGGGCCGGGGGCCATCAGTTACAGGAGCTGCTGTTCGTCAGTCACGCATGCATATGGCGCAGTTTGCGCAGCTGGCACGAGTCTTGGTGCATCGGCTATTCGTTGGCATTGTTGTGCGGCGCCCATCGGGATATCCGACTGCGGCAATGTTGTGCGGCAGTGTTGCGCGGTGCCCATCGGGACATCAGGCTGCGGCGCCCTTGTTGTTGCGGCATTGTTGTGCGGCAGTGTCATCGGTGACATCAGACTCCAGTCCATTGGGGCCAGTCTCCGCGTCATCTCTGAATTGGGTACAACTGGGAGCAAGCTCGCGCACTGGCTGCACGGTCACGGTGTTGCCAGAAAAAATGAAAGTTCCTTGCGAGCAGTAAGAGAGCGGCTTAGGGGCTCTTGGGACTTCGGAAGAAGTCTTTCCAACATCTCGGAACCATTGGGAGTCTTGGGACGGACTGGCAAGTGGGCCTAGGCTTGCCCTAGTGGTCATCAAAAGGTTATCGGTGAGCCCCCGGCGGGCGTCTTGGCTGCGTGGGCTTCGCAGGGCTGGGGCCTCCACTGGGACTGCACGTCGTGCTGGTCCACAGGCCAGTGCACTGTGGGGCTGCGCGGTTAGAGAGCTGCTTTGGGGTCACCTCCACAAGCTCCGCAACCAGGCCCTGTTGGCTCTCGACCGCACTCAGGGGCCTCTGTAGGTCTCAAGTTGCGCTCGCTTACTTCGGGAGGTAAGATAGACCCATGCTTTCGTGATGCAGGCGAGTAGTTTCTCAATGGGCCTGACCTGCGTGGGATGGGGCCCCGAACATCTCAATTCTGTAAGCTGTGTTTGAGGATGCGGTGCGTGTGCTAGCCAGCTCTGGGCGGCCGTGGAGTCGTGTGACGTCGCTTGCTCACCTGTCTGTTCTCGCGCTTGGTGACCTGGGCTGGACTGCGCACTCGGCTCGCTCTGTCACGCTGGCCACGGGAGAGAATGTTGTTTGTTCCCAGCTATCGCCCTCCGCTGTGGCCGGCCTGACGCTGCAAGCCTCTCAAGAGATGTCAGGCGACCGAGCCTCGAGACGAAGTCGGACACGTGGGCCAGGCCTGCCCCCTGGCGCCCGCTCGAGTCCTCGCTCAGTCGCAGGACCCCCGCGCGGGGCAAGTCGCGGCAGAACAGCTCGAGACCTGCTGTCTCGGCACGTGCTACTCGCAAGACAGGCTGCGTCGACATGGCCTGGCTAGCACCAATATTTGCCAGTTGTTCGGAGAGGAAGTTGGCAATCTCTGTCGCTCACCGCAGATTTGTAGGCTCGGCGTGGGAAACGAATCGCATAATGCACTTGTCTCAGGAAGCCAAGTCGGCTGCGAAGAGTGTCAGAGAGTTTGGGGTGGCCTGTGAATCTATTGCCCGTTGCATTTCTCCGCGCCGCCGTGAGGTCATTCCGCCGCCTCTCCACTCGCCAGAATGCGAGATCAGCTGGTTTCAGCGCCCCGCCGATGGCATGCTGTCTGGTAATCTTTTCGCTGATGGGTCAGCGCTGCACCCTGCTGATGCGACGCTCAGGCGCACGAGCTGGGCCATCGCGATGGCACGCGACCTCGGGCGCGCCATCGCGGCGGCCTTCGGGCCCGTGCCCTGGGGCGCTGCCCCCCTCCAATTCGCGAGACGTGGGGAGGGCAATGCTACGCGTGCGCTGCCTCTTGTTGCTCTGGGGGTCGAGGCCGCGTGGCCCGGCTGCGCAAGCGCCGTAGGGGCCGCCCTCACGAGAGCGAGGTCTCTGTCAGCCCTGCGCGGTCAGGCACGCGCGCGGGGCAGGTTCCACGCGGCGTTTGGCGGCAGCGCCCTCGCGCATATGACCAAGGACCTCTGCTCGGAGGCCGATGCGTGGATGGTGTCGCGCCACTTTCTGGGAACGCCGAGCCACCGCATCGGCCGACCTCTCTTCTCAGAAAGGAGCTGCGCCCCCCCCCCTTAGTGTGGATAGGGCTGCCTCACAAGTCACTGGCCTAAAATGTCTTGGGCGGAAGTTGGGCCAGTGGGTGGGGCGGCAAGGAGTTCTCGCGTCCACTCGGGGTTGACTTCTTTGGGCTTCCCGAGAGGTCCCGCTCGGGTAGATCGGCTAGGCCTGCTCGGTGGACCGCCAATCCCCACGTTTGGATGGCGTTTAGCGGAGTCCTCTCGGGGGAAGCTCTGGGAGCCGTTGGCCCCGAGCTTGGAGCCCTGATGGCCCTGCCTGGACACCGTCTGAGGGTGATTCCGGTCCACGACGAGACTGGAGCCACTGTCCTCGCTGGTCCCAGGTTGATCTGCTACCTGGCCTGCGGAGCCTTCGCTTGGGGTGCAGTGCGGTCGTTCTCCCAAGGTTGCCACCGCGTCGCCGCTGGATCTTGGCTCCCTCAGCAGGCGCGAAGGCTCCAACGAGGTCCTTTTTCCGAGGTGGTTTTCGAAGTACCGTGGGTGGCGTCTCGGGCCCTTTGAGCAGCCCTCGGCCTCGGACTTCAGCCCTGGCCGCGGCCATGCTCGGGCCGAGGCCCCCCCCCGCCCCGCAGGCGGTCTTTCGGCTGGGTCCTCCATGGGGGCCAGGGATGACGCCAGGTCGGCTCCTGGCGCACTACGGCCTCAATGGCGACGCCCTCCCGTTCTGGGAGGCCCAGGCTCGCGCCGACCGGGTCGGCAGCGGGGCCTAGGGGGATGAGGATCCTCTCTCCTGATTTGTTCGGTTTTATCGTCACCTATACCTCATTCGTTCACCCTTGTCCTCCTTCTCCTCCTCCTCCTCCTCCTCCTCCTCCTCCTCCTCCTCCTCCTACTCCTACTCCTACTCCTACTCCTCCTCCTCCTCCTCCTCCTCCTCCTCCTCCTCCTCCTCCTCCTCCTCCTCCTCCTCCTCCCCCTCCCCCCCTCCTCCTTGACAGGTGGTGAGCTGTCCCCCAGCCATCCTTGAGCGGGCCGCGCTGCTAAAGGGGCTGTGTCAGCGGCCCCGCCCGATGCTCGCCCAAACCACCACCGCCATCTCCACCACTTCGCTTCCCCTCTTCTTCCTCTCTTTCCTCCTCCTCCTCCTCCTCCTTCTCCTCCTCCTCCTCCTCCTCCTCCTCCTCCTCCTCCTCCTCCTCCTCCTCCTCCTCCCCCTCCTCCCCCTCCTCTTATCGAAGACGCCTACGGCGAATCACCGCCGCCCCCTGCATTTCTTGAAACGCCTATGTGGCCGACAGCTGGGTTAGAGCTTGGCCAAGCCATCGGGCCAGTTGTTGCCCGAGCCGGTTTGGAAAGCCTTCGGGGAACGCGTGGGGGAGCAAGAGGAGGAGCAGGAGGAGGAGGAGGAGGAGGAGGAGGAGGAGGATCAGGAGATGGATGATGATGAGGATGAGGATGATGGGGGAGGAGAAGGAGTACATAGGAGGAGGAGACTTCTTGGGGACCTCTTTGGGATGCCTCTTGAGACTCTTGGAGCCTCTTGGGAGGCCTCTGCGGGGCTTCCTGGGAGCCTTTTGGACGCCTCTTGGGAGCCTCCGTGGGCCTCTTGGGGGCCTTTGGGGGCTTCTTGGGGGCCTTTTTTGCTGTCTTAGGGCGCTCTTGACCCGTCTGACGCCGTCGGAAGCCGTCTTGGGGGCTTCTCTGAACCGATTTGGGGCGCTCTTGGGGCGTTCCAGGGCCGTCTTGGAGGCCTTCTTGGGCGTTTTGGAGGCCTCTTGGGCGGTCTTGGGGCCCTCCTGGGGCCGTCTTGTCTCTTGGGCTGTCATGGGGCCATCTTGGAGGCCTCTTGGGCGATCTTGGAGGCCTCCTGGGCCGTCTTGGGCAGTCGGAACGCCGAAAAGGCGCAAATACCAAAATCCGTCAACCACCTTAGGAAAATCAATGATTAAACCCTCTTCGGGCCTTCCTGGAGGAGCTCTTGGAGGCCTCTTGGGGGCCTCTTGGGCAGTCTTTGGCCATCTTGGAGCCATCTTTGGCCGTCTTGGAGGCTTCTTGGACGAACTTGAAGGCATCTTGAGGCTATCTTAGGCCGTCTTGGCTGCATTTTGGGCCGCCTTGGAGGCATCTTGGGGCCATCTTAGCCGTCTTGGTGGCCATCTTGGCCGTCTTGGAAGCATCTTGGAGGCTATTTTGGATCATCTTGGAGCCATCTGGGGCAGGAAAGCCCTCGGCAACCACCTCTGGAAGATCCTCGGCAATCCTTTCGGGTGGCCGACGGGGCGCGCCGAAGCCCCAGGGGGAGCTCTTTAGGAAACAGAGCCACAACTATAACCGAAAGGATCTAGCACGCCAGGCACCCCATGTGATGAATCAGCAGGGGGCGGCGGACCTAGTGCCCTTCGGGCCATCCCGCCTCCGTGCCAGAGGCTCTGAGGGCCGTCTCGGGCGAGCCTCCTTTGCAGAACTCCTTTGGAGCCTCTGAGGGCCGCCTCGGGCGACTCTGCGGGGAATGCTAGCGGTCTCTGGTAGAACCTTTTGGGGGGAACATGCTGGTCCTGGGGGTCTCGGAGCACGCTGGACGGAGCATGCTGGCTGCCATTTGCGGGCCAGAGCCAGCGATTCTGAGGTGCAGCCTGATACATGACTTGACGCAGCTTGTCACTCTGTGTCGAATTCTGCCACAGCGTGTCCAACCAGCAAGACATGCTGCCCGCCTCGGGCGTCATCCTTTGGATCCCACCTCGGGTCGTCTTGGGGGCTCTTGTTCGTTTCTTGGGGGAGCTTCGGTTGCCGTCATGGGGCGGTCTCGGGGCCCCTCTGGCCGTGTTATACGCTCTTGCGTAAGATGTAAAGCACACGTTGCGATCACATCGACGATGTTTTTTTGCGTAATTTTGACATGTAGGACCCTCTTGCTTCCAAGACGGCTTCAGCGTGGACCCTTGTGACCATATTAAGGTTGGGGGGGTTCCGAACCACGCTCCCGATGCCTCTGGAGCGTAATTCGGTAGAGACAAGACCGAAACATGAGTTACATCTACGTGTAGATGTAGAGGGATATCTACTACTCTAGAAGGAGAGAGAGAGAGAGAGAGAGAGAACAACAAAAGAGAGAGAGAGAGAGAGAGGGAGATAGAGAGTGAGAAAGACACACAGGCGACAGGAGGAGGAGTATAAGGACGTGGAGGAGGATGATGAGGAATAGGTCAGGGAGAGTAGGCAGGAGGAGAAGGTGTATCAGGGGTCAAGCGGAGGAGGATGATAATGAGGAGGAGGACCAGAGTAAACCCAAGACGCACCAACGGTGTTGCAGTCAACCCTCACTCCAAGTTCATTATTCACATGTTCCTGCAATCATGTGTGTTTGATTGCGGGAAGTGCACCATTGAAAGACAAACGTCTGGGAATCCTCAATCGCGTCAAGACACAATCCCTGATATCTCAGTGCCACGCACCAACTTGCTTGTTGCGTTATGACAACTAAATAGTGCCACGGCGCGGTCTCTCGGATTTGAAGCACCACGCGTCAACATGGCTGTTGCGTCGGGGCAATCCTGAACAGTGCCAGAACATCATTCCTGGGATTCCAACCGTACGATTCCTTGAAACGGTTGTGTACATTGGAAACGATTTCGCGCGGCGCTAATGCGAGAGCCTGGCTGGAAAAAGGCGCAGACTTTGAGGCGAATGTGCGTGGCGCTAAAGCGAGAGCCACATTTTGAAAAGGACCCGCCCTCCATCTTTGACGCCGTTGCAACATTCAAGCGTCATGATGATAAGAGGTGAGGAAGTCTTCGGCGAAACGCCCGGCCCGCCCTACCGACACGCCTGGGTGTACGACAAGGAGGAGTTCTTGATAGGGAATCTGGATGGAGGCTGGGAGGGGGGTAGCACAGAGGAGTACGCGAGGGAGGAATGATGGAGTGGAAGGGGCGATGATAGGAGGAGAGACAGGGACGAGAGAGAGAGGTGACTCTCGCTTGCCAGGCGCTACGACGCGCTGTCGCTGCCCGAGCTCCGAGAGGCCCTGCCCCGGGGGGGGGGGGCGAGCCCCTAGGGAGTGCGGGCTGGGGGGGGGGGCGGGAGGGCCCCTGGAGGCCGAATGCGGCGAGAAGCCGCCGTCCTGATCCGTCGCCGCGCCGTTTGCTCTGACGTGCAGCCTTCCGTCTTGGGGGGGGCGCCGCGGCCACCGGGGCAGACGCCGCCTCGGGCGCAGGGTTTCCCGTGGGTTTGCCGTGGTGTCGGCTTCGTCTACCTGGGCGCGTCGAGAACAGACGGCGCGGCGACATCTTCCCCATGCGTGGTCAGCGGATGCCTTCTCTCTTCGCGTTGTTTGGCCCTCGTTGTCTCTGTCTTGCTGGCCCCTTGTCGCCCGAAGTCGTGCCCTTTCTGGTCGGATGGTTTTCGGCCGGCCTCCTTTGTCTCTTTGTGCGGCGTATCCGTTTCGCCAGGCGTGCGACTTTGAGCGCTCCTATGGCTTCCCGCCCCAGCTGCGCGCGACCGAAGCGTGGCCAGGCGGAGGACTGGAGCGCCGCGCGGGGAGCCCATACCCCCGACGTCATTTTTTGTTTAAAAGGAAAAAGCGCGACCCCCAGAGGTCCCGACCCATTCCCCAGGACAGGCTCTTCATCTTGAGCTGTTTGTTGACGGCGGCCCCGAGGCCCGGCGGGGGCCCCCAGAGTTTGAAAATGGTGCACAAAAAGCCATAGTTTTCTCACAACGCGAGAGTGTCTGGGTCGGACGGGGGTAGGACGAGGACAAATGCGTTCCAGAGCGTTCCTTAACGCTCTCAGAGCGTTCCAGAGCGCTCTGAGAAGGCCGCGGCGCCCGAGACATCCTCCAGAGCCGACGGATCTCAGAGATTCTCGATCTATCCTCACCCGATTGTATCCTCGCCTTGGCTTCGTCTTACTGGGAAGCGTGGTCAGGGGAAGGACCTGAGCGCCGCACGGGGAGCGAAGCCTGCCGTGTGGTGGGCCTGCGCGTCACCGGGGGAGAGAGGGTCGTCGTCGTCGTCGTCGTCGTCGTCGTCGTCGTGTGGGGAGCGAGGCCTGCCGCGCGGTGGGCCTGCGCGGGGCCGGCTCCCGGGCCGAGCTTGCCTGCTGCCTGGCCGCCGCGGAGGCGGCCGCGCGCCGCGGGCCGGCCGCGGGGCGCCCAGGCCGCAGGTGCCGCGCCGCTGCGGCGGCGCCCGCGGCGGCGGCGCCGCGGCGGTGCCCTTCGAGTCCGGGCGCGCTGGCGGGCAGGTCGGGGGGCCCAGATCGAGCGGGGCTGGGACGAGGATGAGTCCGTCCATCGGGCTCTCGAAGGGTTTCATGTTTTGTTTGTTGTGCGTCAACTGTTTTGTGGACAAGTGTCTGAGCTTTCTGGGCCCCCTTTCCATCAGCTCCGCTTCGTCGACAGCGTCGCATCGTAGAATCGTCCCAAACGACCGCTGGAGACCCGAGTTAGGCCCACGACAGCAGCGGCTGGACCCTGTCGCGCAGCTCGAAAGCCAGACGACGGAGATCACTAAAGGTGTGTGCTGCTCGGTCGGTGCGGCTGCGTCGCAGGTCTGCTGCCTTCGGTCGTATCGGTTCGGTCGCTTGCTGCGCCGCCGCGTTCCTCGAGGTTGCTTTCGGCCCGTCGGTTGCGGTCGGCTTCGGTCTCGCTGGTTCGGTCGGTTTTCAGTTCTGTGGTCGCCGTGAATGCCTGTGCAACAAATCCGGCGGCTCGACAAGATCATGGTGTCGGACGGGGCTAGGACGAGGAACACTTCGTTCCAGAGCGTTTGGGAACGCTCTCAGAGCGTTCCGGAACGCTCTCAGAAGGCCGCGGCGCGCGAGACATCCACCAAAGCCGCCAGATCTCAGAGATTCTCGAGTTATCCTCCCCGGATTTTGTCCTCGTTCTGGCTCCGTCTGACCATTCCCCCTCGCTCGCCGGGCCCCGGGACCGTGAAGAAGCGACCTGGGGCGAAGAGCCCGTCCCGCGGAAGTGGCCGAGAGGTCGGGGCCCGGGTCTTGGGGACGGGCGTTTTGTTGGGGGCTGTTTTCAGCCTCTGTCGGGTCGGGCGAAAGGGGGGGGGGTTTGGGAAAGGGGGGGTTACGAAATCTGCTGCATGCAGCTGGTTTCGGCCCGACCGAGGGGCCCATTCCTCGATACATGGGCGCCTCCCGGCGCCGGGAGGCGCCGGGAAAATCAGCTACGTGAGCTGATTCTAAAACCCCCCCTTTGCTGTCCCCCCCTTTCGCCCGACCCGACTCTGGGAGCCCTCGCTGGGCCTCGGGAGTTCACGATTGGGGATGAAGAGCCGGTCCTGGGGAATGGGTCGAGACCTCTGGGGGTCGCGCCATGAAAAAGTCATTACGTCGGGGGCCTGAAATTTTTACCCCCCTGGCGGTAACGAGCGTGGCCGGGGGGCGGGACTGGGGGGCCGGCCACATCACGATTCGCGCCAGCGCCGTGTATGAATGCCTTGGAAAGTTCCCAGACGGCGCCAGCGCGAACCCTGACGTGACAGGGCGGGGGGGCGCGGGGCTGGTCACGGGAATTAGCGCGAATAACAAGAAGCGGGCTCAAATGCGGAGGAAAATTCGGGCTTCCAAGTTTTCGGGCTCGTTCGTCGTCTCTTGGGGGTTTTCCAGCGGCTGCTCCTCGCCGAGAGCTCTCCAGGGGTGCCAGGATCGTCCTGACCGGCCGCCTATGGCCCGAGTTCTTATCCGAAAGCCATCAGGCGTCGAAACGGGTGACGACTATAGAGTAAGGACAGAGGGGGTACGGAACCTGCTGCTCGCAGCTGGTTTCGGCCCCGCCGCGCTGGGCGCCTTTCCTCAGTGGGCCCTTCCCGGCGGTGGGAGGCGCGGGAGGAATCAGCTACGCGAGCTGATTCGCTGAGCCCCCCTTTTAACTACCCCGCCGTCGTCCGATCCGACAGGAGGTGGGTGATGTGCTGACATCAGGGCCTGGGCCACGACATCTCCCAGGATGTCGTGGTCTCTTCTTCTTCTTCTTCTTCTTCTTCTTCTTTTTTCGAGGCGCTCTCTGGGCCCCCCCTCGTCCGCGCACGTGCCTCGGGCCATGGCTTGCTAACAGCCCCGGCCCACGGCCCACCGTCGGACGCCCCAGGGCCAGGTACCCATCGGCGCCCCCCCGGGGGCGACGCGCGCACCGAGAAATAGTATAGTATATACGGTCGTGGCGGGCGCCTTCTGGCCAGACCTCTCGGGAAACGATCTGTTACAGGATGGGTATACTATATGTTCGGGTCGGACGCGCGCCTCCAAGGAGGACACATAGTATTCGTATGTCTCTGTGCGTACCATGCTACATTCTGGCGTTGTTTTTTTCTCGATCTCGGTCCTCCGGGCTGTCGAGATCGTGGGCCCTGGCTCGGCCCACGCCAGGGCCGCCGCAGGCGCTTGATCACCCAGACATGCGATCGATTTTTAGTTTCCCGGATGTCTCGACCCTTGCCGGGGCCACGCGGCGTGGGGGAGGCTACTTCCTCCTCCTCCTCCTCCTGTGTCAGCCTGCGGGGCCTCCCCCACGAGACTCCCGCTCCCTGGCTTTTCGTCCCCGTCTTCTTCTCGACTGCTCCAGGGCCTGCGGCGAGGGCCCCTGGAGGCCGGACATTGCTGAAGACCGCCGCCCGACGGGATCTTGTCACAGCGAGAGGGCGCCCTCCCCTGAGATCGGCCGTTGCGAACAACAATGCGACGCCGTCGGAAAATCACCACTGGAGCCCCGGACCCCATCATTCGAACTCGAGCTGGATCGATCCGTATGATTGTTCTGGCGCCCGAAACCCAGCGAAAACGCCCGTTGTGAACAACATGCGACGCCAAGATCGCTGAGGGAGGAGGAGGAGTAGGAGGAGTAGGAGGAGGACCAGTGTAAACTCAAGAGTCATCCACGGTGTTGAAATAAACCCTCCCTCCAAGCTCTTTGATAGGATCCCACAAGGATTCATTGCCACTGAGGGAACTGCCTCGTTGGAAGGCAACCGTTTGAAGAGCCTGAAGCATGCCAAAACATTGTTCTCGAGCCTCCAACGCCGCAGATGAACCTGACTGTTGCGCCGTGACGATCCTGAATCGTGCCAGAACGCCATTGCTGGGACTTCAGCACCGCAAATCAACGTAACTCTTGCGCCCTGATAACTCTGAACCTTTCCAAAAACACCATTTCTGGTATGTTGACCTTTGCAATCCGCGAAACTCTTGTAATCTTCGAAAAGGAATGCGCGCGGCGCTAAGGCGAGAGCCGCATTAAAAAAACACCCGCCCTCCATCTGTGAACCTGTTGCCAATTTCTACCTTCAGGGTCATACATGGTGGGGAAGTCTGAGGCGAAACGCCCGGCCCGCCCTACAGACAAGTCTTGTGTGCGAGGTGGAGGAGTTGTCTAGAAGGAGAAGGGATGGAGGAGGAAGAGGAGGAGGAGGAGGAGGAGAAGGAGGAGGAGGAGGAGGAGGAGGAGGAGGAGGAGAAGGGGGATGGTCTCCTAGCAGGGTGTCGGCCCTCCGCGCCGCGGGCCCGCAGACGGCCTGCAAGAAGCGCCCGGCGGCCGCGGCCGCGCCCGCGCCCGCGCGGAAGCGCCCAGCGTGCGCGGCGCCCGCCGCAGCGGGGGCGCGCCCGCGGGAGGCGCCGGGGCCGCAGGAGCTGGCGGCGGCCGCCAGCGGCGCGCCGCGGCGGCGCCCGGCGGTCGCCAGCGCGCAGGCGCCGGCTGTGGGTCGGCGACAACGGTGGAAACCCATGCCAAGAAAAACCCTGCTTGCCTCCAGGGTGCCCTGGGTCTCTTGGGCTTCGGTGGTCTTGCTAATTATGGAAGCCGTGGCGTTCCCACACCAACAATCAAGGGACGTCCTGGGGTCGCAGGGCTGGGATGCAGGTGGAAGGTTTCTTGTGGTCGAGCTCCTGCTGTATGGATGAGGGTGTCGTCACGCCAGGGTGTGGTCTGCGACCTGCGTCGGTTGGGGCTTGGGGGGCACCGAGCCGCCTTGGCTGGGCCTCCCGGGGGGCGCGGCGGGGAGCTCCGCCGAGGCCCTCGCCCGCCCCCAGGTGTGCGGGCTGCTAACCACACACACACACACACACACACACACACACACACACACACACACACACACACACACACACACACACACACACACACACACACGCACGCACGCACGCACGCACCGCACGCACGCACGCACGCACGCGCGCACGCACGCGCGCACGCACGCGCGCACGCACGCACGCATGTACACACGCACGCACGCACGCACGCA